TACATTGACTCGCACTCACTGTCAATCCCTAAACTAGATTTCTTTCGTTTACGTTTTTTAGCTTTAAACCTGTTACCCTTGGGAAGTTTAAATGACTTCTTATCTTATTGAGAATGTTATGAAAAATATCTGTTAAATCATCAGTGGCTTCATCGACCCCGTTTCTTTGTAATACTCTGTCTTTACCTAAGAATAGTTGTACATTAGATTCAATTTCCTTTGATAACATCAGGAACATATATATTGATATAGATATACTGTTCCCAGATAACATCATGTCTGCATAACATTTTTTAACCGCATTGTTCCATTGTAAACCCTTAGGTATTGGTCTCCCAACTTTTTGTTGTACTTGAGCATAATTTAAAGATAGGACATTGATCAGAGTGGACGGTAAAATCCTTTACAGTAAAAAAACATACATTTTTTAGCATATTATTACTAAAAATACAATAATCAACAACAGCACTACCATTATATTGATGGGAAGTGGGTTTACCTAATGTATCAACTAAAGTTCGTCCATTTAGAATTCTGCTTCTAGATGATATGCAAAGCTCTAATAGGCGTTTACCGTATTCATCAGTCTTACTATCCTTTTTAGTACAATATCTCCTATAATGTACATTATCTGCCAAATATGAACTAGGAAGTATATCTTGTAAACTTTGAACATGATCAGATGAAATAAAATCCAAATCATTTTCATTAACATGGGCATTTAAGTCCCCCATAATGATAGTCTCCCCTAAATTTGAAAACTTACTCATGTCTTGTTCTATCTTCTCTAGTGTTGATAACTCACTTTTTAGAGATTTAGAATAGCTAGAGTGTATTGGTGAGTTGTAAGCAAAACAAACAAATATATCAGATGAATATGAAAAAAATGTTTTACTTAGTTTTGCCCACAAAAATTCAGAGCAATTATTTTTTATTAATGTAATTCCTTTACTAAAATTTGGTCTGACATATAAAGCAATGCCTCCATGAATAGCTTTACCTTTCCTGGGGTGAACAACCCTTTTCAATAAGGTATAACCTTTCAGGCATATATTATCTTCCTTATCAGCCAGATTCAGCCTTTGTTTCTAATAGGCATATAATATCAGAATTTATATTTTCACAAAAATCAGGATCATCAAGTTTGCAATATCTATTTCCATCTTCCCTGTAAAACAAACCATGAACATACCAAGAACTAATTGTTAATTTGTTTTTTAACATTCTATGAATTATAAGGGATTCAACAGAAACCTTCAGAGTTGAAAAACAATTTTTTTGAAAAATTGTAGAATTATAACTTGACCATGTTGAAAAGTTACTTAAATGTAGGATTTATTTTATCTTTTTTAATGTGTATCCTTTTGAATTTTGAAAAAAGAGAGAAAAAAAAAGATATGACTAGCAAAATTTAAAACAATTGACTAGATAAAAATGAAAACAAAACGGAAAAATAAAAATAAAATATATCTTAGATACAACAAGTCCAAGGACCATAACTCTACACAAAATTATTAGACCGAAACAAAAATTTGAACTTGATCTGTAGCTTGTCATAATAAAACTATATATATACCAATTATCAATCAATATCTTATAAGCATGATGAAAAAAACATCAGATATGATTAATAGTTCTCTAAAATTAGATATGATGTAATACAGTGTATATCTATTTTCAAATTATAATCAAATATAATTAATAATACATGTGTAGTTCCAAATATTTTTTCTTTCATTTGTCACAAACTAATATAGATTTGTAACTTATCTATAAAATGTCAACAACTTTTATCTACACAATGTAATGTATTGAAATATATACATTTATAAAAATAGATTATTATCTAATTAAAGGATTTCTCTTCATAATTTTTTTATATATATACCGGTATATAGCATTCAGAAAATTAGTTTATACTAAATAACAAACTAACCTATCAAAAAATTCTTCAAATAATTTAACAAAGAATGTCTTTTAAAAAATGAGTTATTTCCCTTTGTACAGAAATATGGTTTAACATAGTACTCTAACATTACATATGGTCCAGAGTTATGGTCCATAACTCTGGACTAAATCATCAGACCGGAACAAAATTCGAACTTGATCTATAACTTGTCATGATAAAACTATATACCAAATATCAAATCAATATCTTCAAGAACGAAGAAAAAAAGTGTGGAAAGCTGATTTGCCGGACTGATGGATATACAGACGGATGGACAGACAGATGGACGGAGTGCATACCTAAAGTCCCTTTCGACTTTTGATTTTATGGGGGGGGGGGGCTAGGATGAAATTTGAAAAAAAGGCAGAACAGGAGTTTTGAGTAAAAAAAAAAGGCAGGATGAGCAACTTGGCAAAAAAAAAAAAAGGCAGGATGACAATTTATGTAAAAAAAGTCAGGATAAACTAATAAATAAAAAGACAGGACCGAATAGAGTGAAAAATAAAAAGGCAAGACAGAGATTACAACTAAAAAAAAATGCAGGACAAAATTTTTCATCCTAGCCCCCCATAAATATGGTAGCTCCCTCAAAACCATTTCGATCATTTTCATATCCTTGTTATCTACAAATCTGTGGTTAACATTGTAATTTCTCATGTCGTGCTTGTTCATTTGATCTTTAGCGTAGCCATCATAGAAACCATGGTTTTGGTAGTTTTTGCCACTGATTGTATTATTTGTTGGTACTTTGTTGTTCTTTTTGTATGAAGGCCACTTTCCATTTAGCACAAAACTAAGGGTCTTTTTCAAATTTCCTGCCAAGACTCTTGTTCCCTCATTAATATTAATGTTCATGCATAGTATACAGAAAAATGCGAAAATAATTGAAATTAATAGAAAACAAAAAATTAACAAATTTTTGAAAAAAGGGGGAGGGCTAATAAAATTTGTCCTGTCCCAAAGTACCTATGAAGTTTACTAAACATATTCAGAAGAAAAAGCAACTAATAGTAAAATAAGGGATTGCACCAGAGTTGATAAATTCACTTAAACAAGGTAAGACAAGGCATAGTAGGTTTAAGTTAATCCAGAGCAATTTTCTGATGAGTCTGCAAAATCAGGAAATCGTTCCAGACTCAGAATCCAAAAAGGGATTAGTGTTAAATATTAGGTATAAAAATTTAAACAAATGATAATTCAAATGAAAAAAAAAATATCCAAAACCCTGTTCTTGAGTGCTCGAGGATAAAACGCTAAAATATACCTACATAAATATTTCATTAAGGGCAGACTAGAAATTTTTGAAGTTGAAAAACACCAATAGCCACAGATAACATACATCAAATTTGAAATTTATCTGAAGTTATGCATTTTTAAGATCCAAAAGTAAAGTCTGTCGTCAAGGGTGTTTGACATAATTTAAGGGGTGGTTAGTGTCGGACTTCTTTTTTATATAAATAAGAGAATTGATATGCATAAATTTTACTCTGATGATCGGTATCAAAGAAATACAAATAAATATTCACAAGATGTACACTTCACTTTTCAAGTTTTTTTGTCTTTTTCAAGCATCTTGATCTACTTAGTTATGATTACTCGTTACAAAGATATTTCACTTAACCTGCATGTATATATTGGTAATGTAGTAATGCGAATTTTATCATATCAACATTTAGCTATAAAATATAAGCTTAATGGAATATGTGGCAATGAGATATACCGTATTTGACCGAGTATACATGTAGTACGCACACCTTTTCAACACCCAGAATCGTGAAAAACGTCTAGTTCACTGTAAAAGTCTTTGATAGAGTTATTTGTTTGTGTTTTATACAATTAAAGGACAAAAACATACACACTTGAAAGCTTGCTTTCAGTAATTTAGAGCATTATAAGAAGAAGTATAATCTAATATTGCCAATAATTTTCAAAATAATGGTGAACAGTTTTTCATGATAGAGTCTTGACTTGAGTTATAATGAAGTGTTTTGGGTTTAATCCATACATGTAGCTGACTGAGTGAGTTAAATCAGTAATGTTTAAAACTGGTTATCACTTCTTATCCCTTTAAGCATGTAATAATTAGGAATGAAAACAAACAATGTGGAGTTGTCTTAAAGTCCTGCTAAGAAAAGGTATATACTATGAAATTAAGAGCTAGGGGCAAGCCCCTCGCTCTAAATTTCATAGTATATACCTTTCCATAGAATAACCTAGACAAAATGTGTGTGGTTATGACGACTGTTAAGCTTGCAAGTTTAAATCTAGCTATGACTAGCCTTGAATATGTTTGGAAGAGGCATCAAACATATTCATGCTATTTTGTCATCTGTTATTCTGATTACATTATTGAATGGAAGATTTTTTTCTAGATTTATTTTCGTTGTGCACATTTTAACTTGTCTTGGCTCAGGGTGGTTTGAAGCTTTAGGTATGGTGTAGAATTGTTTTTATTGTTGACCTCCAAATGTTTGCCTGGTGTAATTGTAATATTGGTTTGCTCTCATTGACATATATCCAACATCTACTTTAAATATAACAAGAATGGAATTTAAGGCCAGGGAACAATAAGTAAATGGCATCCATGGTTAAACATTAGCAGCCATACAAAATTTTGTTGACCTAGATCGAAACAGGAGAAAAAACAGATGTTCTCCGAACTGCATATAAATTGAGAGAAAATAAAAATAAATGCCATACATATATGGTCTGTCTTGAATTTCATTTACAACTTTCAAGGAAACCAACTTTTTCCAAAAGTTACTGTTTGTAGTATTAGTGACCTTGAAAGGCTCTATTGACCCGAAAACCAATAAGTTTCTTAAGGGAAATTCAAGTTACCATCAAGAAACAATATGTTTCAAAACACTCAGATGGACAGATGGATGGATGGTAGCACAGAAAGACAGATGGACAAAGCAATGACTATATGCTCCTGAAATTTAAGGTGGATCTTGAAATAGATAAAATAACAAGGTTCGTACAAATTTCAGTGGCATCTGAAGAAAGGGACATTCTTATCGTGTGAGGCAGAAATAAAACGTACAGATAATACTTTTTTTACAGAATTTATGTATGATAGTACTTAAAAAAGAGTAATGTAAATTGTCATATATGGAAGTCAAGCTTAATGTGATTAAGTATTACAAAAATACTGTTTATAAACTATAACTGCATTGGTTCTTCATTTAAAGTGGTAATTAATTTTTCTGCTATAAAGTCTTGAGAGGATTCATTCAAACATTCTATAAATGTATCAAAAGCTTTAGGTCCTCGTCTAATTAAGGTGAATAAAAACTGTGTTGCTTTATCTTTCTTTGTCTGTTTGACACTAACTTCTTCTCCCATACTTGGTGTGAAAATTTCTTTTTCTATCATTAAGTCAAGAAGATCTTCCAAAATCAAACTATCCATCAGAAAAACCCAGTTTTTACGTAAAGATTCTTGATGCCTTTTCTCCATTTTCAAGTGGTTTTCATGTATACATTATATAACTGTGAATCTGAAAGTAAACAAGACGGGAATTATTCCCTTGGGGAATGTTTTTTCACATGTTCACTTTGAAAGAAAAACAGCACAACTAGACTCTAGATCACCTATAATAGAAAATTATGTGCCAATGACATATGTTTCAGCAGGCACACTTGATCATGAAATATATCTCAGTAATTACCTTCATAAGGTACACCTGGTCATGAGATATATCAAGAATAACCATCATCAAGCTCACTTGGTCATGAAATATCTCAGGAAAAACCTTCATCCGGCAATGAAATAGCTAGTGTTCTTCTTATGTATTTTGTTTTATAAGATGCAAATTGTTCATAATTCACCATATATGCTCTATAGCTTCCACAAAAAAAAAAACCCAAAACAAAATATGGATAAAATTTGTAATTCAATAGCAATAACTCCTACAAGGAGTCAGCTGACTATCTCAGCCCTATTGAATATTTGTAAATCTAGTCCTACATACCATTTTTGCTATTGACAGATTCTCTCTTTCTACTAAAGTTTTGACAAAAGTGTGTAAAAAATATCTCTTCAGGGCAATAACTCCCAGTATTCAACTGACAATTTCAAACATGTTCGACCTTCTAACTTTTCCAATTACCAGATTTTATATGATTGGTCCCACATAAAAATTGAGGTTTTCAGAAGCATCCATCTAACATTGTACAGCTTCACATTCTGTGGAAGTCCAAACTCAATTAAGAATGACCTTCAACAGTTCCAGGAATTTTGAAAGGGGGGGGGGGGGGGGCATAATTCCATAAAACTTAACATATACCATGTAAATTGCAGAGCAAAGTGAGGTGAAATTTTATTTAAAAGATTTTATGCCAAAAAATTATAGTTTTTTTTTATCAAAAAGGGGGGTTGGAGGCGTATACCCTCTACACCCCCTGAATCCACCACTGAGTTCATCTTCGCTAGCCAAGGGTTACGATCCAGTCCCCTCCTCTCAAAGAGGAAAGGACTGGATCGTAACCCTTGGCTATTGAAGATGCACTGAGTTCTGTTAACAAGAAAAAGAAGATGTTTATTTTTTCGGTTAGTGTCCCTCACAAATTCATACTACAATATGTATCAGGCTATATATTTTAGATAAAAAAACAATTACAAAGATTAAACAGTTTGCATATACATAATGTGTTTATACATATATATTTCCATTCTCTTTTCTATTATGTTTTGGATATCTCCACATCAGGCTTACACCCTAAAAAAAAAGTGATGTTAATAATTTGGCAATTCATGAAGTGCCATATGTAACTTAATTCTAAAGGAGCCTTGACTTTGCTGCATGACAAGGAGGATTTAATTAGCTCTAGCTTTGCATATTGGCCTTGTATGTAAATTAAAGATAATGTGTAATATGTATAGCAGCTTTTCTTTTTAAGAAAAAATCATAAAAGTATATATATCATACATAAGTTTATTGTTGTTATTTTTATATCGCCATTCTGTTGCCTACCACCAGTCACTGGTAATACTTATACAAGTGTTTTTTATTCACTGGTACAGGTAAATTATTTTGGAGGTAGAGTTATATCCCTTAGACATTCAGATTTGTTTAACTTACATAAGTAAGAAAGTCTTATTTTCTTCTTTTCTTGAATTCCTCTTGACTACATTGCTCTAATAGAGTGTTTTTTTCAATTGTCTGTCATTAATAGTCGGCTTTTAATATTCATAAAAATATATTTTCATGGACGATGAACATCTTTTTCTGTTTATCTTCAAAATACTGCTCATTTACAAGCCTCCCGAGAGCAATTTTTGAAGAACAGGAACAGATATTATGGCATAACCCGACTAATCCAGTCGTTATATTCCGACTCATTATCTATCGCTGCATTAACGAGAGGACACTGACTGATAGAGGGCGCTGAATCATTCGAGTTAATTCTGGCATTGTTTATAACAAAGTTTCCAGGGGGGCTTCTGTTTGGGGGAACAAATATATGTTGACAACTGTCCATCTGTCATTCTGTGTGCAATAGCAGAGATTTAATTTCTTTGTTTAGTTTTTGAGACAAAAGATTGAACTTTAATTAAAAAATAATAAGCAAGCAAGAAAAAATTTGTTTACTGTGGATTCATTATTATTCGTTGGATACCAATTTTCGTGGATTTCGTGGGTACAGCTGAACCACGAAATCAAATGTTCAACGAAAAACAAATTTTCTACAGGCTCGTATGCAGACTTCAGCAAAACCACGAAATTAAATATCCACGAACATGTAAGTTTTCCTGATTCCACGAAAATTGGTACCCACGAAAATAAATGAATCCACAGTATACTTGTTTTTACCTCCCAAAACATAAGAATTTAAGGGGTATAAATTGTTAAAAAAAATTACTTGTGTAACTGTAAGTGAATTTTTGGAGAAGATTAATGGGAGATTATTCAGAATAAATTTTCTCCCACCCCTGTGGTACACTATAAAAACATCCAATTAAATGAGACTAAAGCATAAAATTTTTTAGGAAACATTATTAACTATAAAGTCAATTTAAAAAAAAACTTATCCAGGAACTATCAAAAAAGGGATTGAAGGTCCTATTTGCTTTAAAAAGTAGATTTTCTAACTTTAAATCCATCCCTGTTAATTTATCATGTAAACTATTTGATGTCTTAATAAGACCTGTTCTATTATATAATATTGAGGTCTGGTTTATGGAAAATTATTTATCCATTTTTAAATCTTTGAAATGATCAGAACAACATGGTTCTGTTTGTGATACTTTGTCCTTAGAAGATAAATGTTGCTATGAAATGATTCATAATAAATACTGTAAATCTGTCCTAGGGCTTAAGAAAACTGCATGTAATATTTCAGCGAAAAACAGAACTGGGCAGATTTTCTATGGCTTCATTTATTAAACCACAAGTTATGCTATATTTTTGTAGATTTCATACCCATGATATTAATCCTCTGTTAAAAGAAGCCTATGAATCAAATAAGTCACTGCATAATGATGGTTTTCATAGTTGGTATACATTGCTCTAAATATATTTAAAGAGACCGGATTAAATGCTGAAGATTTTGAAAATTATGATAAACCATACAATAAAATTAAATATTCCTTAAAGATGAAGTTTAAACAGATATCACATGAAGTTTATACAAAAAAAATCTTGAATAAACTTTCTTTTGTAACAGACAGTTCAAAATTATTTCTATATAGTCAAATAAAATCTGAGATAAAAATTGAGAATTATTTATTAAAAGAATCAAATTTTAAAACCAGACAATTAATTTCTAAATTAAGGGTTAGTGACCATAACCTAGAAGTTGAAATGGGAAGATATAAAAATGTACCCAGAGATCAAAGGTTATGTAAACTTTGTAATAAACTTGAATACCATTGTATACCATTTTTTCTATTACAAACTGAACTCAACTTTAAGAGATTGCTGTTTTGTAATGATTAATAATATAAACCCAGATTATTCAAATTATCAACCACTTTTAAAGCTAAAACCACTTTTAAATCCTGAATCTAAGCTTTTGACAGAAGTTGGTGACTTTATAAAGCAATCTTTAGAATTGCGAAAATGAGGTCCATGCATGTCCATCAAAGGTTACATTACCATTTATAACTATATGTTTTTTTATGTTTATATTTGTAATTCTTCACTATCTATATTAGATATGTTTGTATTTGTGTTTGCTTGACCCATATGGGTGTATTTTGCAAATAAAATTATTATTATTATTTTTCAAACCTTGAAAATAAAATTAAAATCTTACAAATTTACATATGCAAGTAAATATTACTAACATCATCAAGTAAATAAACATGACTTCTATAAGTGTTACAGGATAAGATAAGATAAGATATTCTATTTTTTCCAAACTAGGTCTCCAGGGAGGGGGGGGGCATATACACAAAACAAATATAATCTTTATACAACATACAATATTTTAAATGACATTCATATAATAAACCTAAATATAGAGCCATACAGGCTATTCTATGTTAAATAAAAAAGTATTTTAGGGTTGCTACTCTAGATGTGTGGCAAATGTCCTCTCACTTGATTTTACTTGCAATTATTTTTATTTTATTTTTTTATTTTTATATTTGCTGGAAGTTATGATATAAATTTGATTGTTCAGCTGCAACAGGTAACAAGGGATAATGCTCTAGGATTATGAGTATAAGTCCTCTAACAAACCTCCTCGTACATGATGCAGAGAAACAAACATAAAGCTAACAAAAGTTCAATGTTATTCACAGCAAATAACATATAATAATATTAATATACTGCAGTACTATTATCCCTGACTGACCATCATGGCCACAGAGAAGTTCATCAATCAAGATTCAAAATGTGTATGAACCAATCAAGGACCCTAAAGGAGCAAAACAATTCGACAATCGCAGCTTATTGCAATGTATATATATTTTTATGGTTTGATAACTTTTCTTGCTACATGGGAAGTGCTACTTTCACTTTCACTTTATTAGTACGCATCAAGTGATCACTCTTTAGTGCTTTTTTAAAATTTAATTAAAATAATCTGTTTTACTTTAACTTTTCGATTATTTAATAACGAACAGAAAATATATTTTGCAAAACTTACTCAAGCTGATTTCTATATTTATTTGGTAGTTAGTCACTGCATCATAAGTGCTCTAAACAGCATATCTCCACACGGCGTTAGTTTAAAGTATAGCTAAAACACCAATAATGTCCTTGTAAATCTTAAATAACGCACCAAAATGAACAATTTATACGTTCACTTAAAAAAAACAGTGTTAGAGATACTAACATCTACTATTCGTCACTAATGTAATATGGAAAGTAAACTTTTACCACGTTTACGCTTTGAAACTCACAAGTTATTACTGTTTTTAGTCAATCAAGTTCTTTATGTTATTCTTTGAAAAATATAAATTGGTACTTAGTTATATGTTTCTTTGGAAGAGCTGTCTCCTAAGGGTCCTAAGCACATTCAACTGTTTTCTCCTATTTTAGCGGCAAAGATGCTGTAAATATAAACATGAAGAAGACATAAACATTTAAAAATTGTGAGAAAATAATTTGTCAGTATGTCCATCGGCAGCGCAACATCAAAATAATATTTTCTCTTTTTCAATGTTATATATTTTACAAGCTAACAACGCAAACTTTATACTTTTAAGGTTCACCTCTACCACTATTTAACCTAGGAGTAGGAGAAAATGGCCATGGTTCTACCACAATAGTCTGAGTACAGACAAACTTGTGCATCTGGAAAAGTTTCAGACATGGCATGACCTAGACGAATAAAATTCAAATGCAATTTTTGTTTAATGTCGTACCATATGTAATTTAAAAGAAAACCAGGCAAGTGGGGTCTATTTTATTTGGTAAGGGTCCAATACACATTCGCACCCACACGTTTGCCCCCTGTGTCTGTTTGCACCCTATTTTCATTAAAAAAACAGGTTGAATTATTAGATGTTTTTTAGATGTATATTTATATTAAAATTTTATATTTTTGTGCTTTGATGATTAATTGTTAATTTTGTATGATTACAAAGCTAGATTTGGTATCATTGTTCTGTGTTTTTAAATTATAATGAATAAAAATAAATCATATATATATAACTGTATAACTTATTAGTTCTTCTTTACCTCCATAGTGTACCTTCAAGCTTTTTTACTTGGAAATAAATGCTCTGTAGGAACCTGGGAACAGTATATCTAACGGGAAATGAATCTGATACGCTTTTCAGTATAAAATTGATAAAATCTCAGACTCCTCGAGACTTCCCGAGATTTACGGATTTTGGTAGCGTCTGACAGAAAAACTATCAGAACTGCTCAACAAATAAACCACATAACTCTAATTGTAAATAAATACAAGTTTTATCATTTAGTAGATATATTTTGTCATATAAAATTACCAAAATTAGTTTGATTTATTTGATGTGAAGTGTTTTATAATAGTTTGGGAATTTGTAAATCATCGCGGCAATGGCCGCCATTTTTTTATTACCTGGTTTGCATTCTGCACAATTCTGTGATAAAATGCTTGCGATTTTAACAAATTTGAAGTGACAGAATACAAGTTTGATACACTAGCATCACTATAAAACTAGTTTGAATGACATTTTATTGATAATATCAGAAATTATTAGGATAATAGCGAGTCCGTTTTTTACACATATCCGTTTCTGTATCGTATCTTTATTAACTATGGCACGACGATATAATCGACTACAATCAGGTAGTGTCAAGTCCCGTCAATATATATGTTCCTGGTAGGAACTTATAGCTGATATGCAACACCATGAACACCTAAAAAAACATGTAATTTGTGCCCTGGTTTTTGTATTATTCGTTGTTGATGTGGCAATGTCATTGTGATGAGTTTGATAGCTGTTTGGTATCTTCTGCCTTTCTTTTAGAAATCTTAGATGAACTTTGCCTTGATCATTATAACAATTTTTTATTCATAACTCGTTTCGTCAAAATAATTAATAAAACACCAAAGGAAACCTGTTTTATAATGTCACTTTATTTTGAAACAATAAAAAATTATTCAACACTAAACAAACAAAAAAGGATGCGAATGTGAATGGGGGCGAACATGAATGGGAGCCAACATGATTTTGGACAAACAGACCCGAATTCATTTTATTTGTACAATTTGTCACAATTATCAGTGAATCACATGAGGCAATAAGCATAATTGCATAACTTTTACTTGTTAATTACCTGGTCAGACCTCAGCAAATTGCAATACATTTTATATATGTTAAATTCCCATTTTATTGACTTTTATAACAGTTTATGGTATTTGATAGTCCAAAATATGTGGTTTTGGAAGGCAATTTTAATGTTTTGCTTAACTTCAATGAGCGATAAAAAAAAATCAGAATTGAAAAATACCTCAGCATGATTATCTGGACTAGTTATTTGTATATTGAGATAAATATTGAGAAATATCATATAACAAAATTTGAAACATCCCCTTTCAAAACATATAAAACATTTTCATTAAAAATTATCAGGAAAAAGATGATGTAAAAAGGATGCATCATCTCAAATTAAAATATTTGAATACTTTGCTTAGAAAATGAAAAAAATTCTAACTTAGGACAAGGAATAATAACTTGTTGATAAATAATAATACTTATAAACATAATTAGTTTGTGACAAGAAACAAAAACAAACATATTAATATAGCAAAGAAATAACAATTCTATAAGAAATGAACACATGGGAAAAAAAATATAAGACTTATGCCCTCAGTTCTTACATGTAAATGAGTGTTTTATAAAGGAGCCAATATTCTTAACATGTTCCATGATGGAGGGGTTTAGTATTTCTTTTATAAAGTTATGAAAATGAAAATTACCCTATGCAACCGTACAATCATCCAACAAATGCAGAGGATATTGCATATTAGGTCATTAAGGTAGGGACTGTAAGTGATTTTGATTTCATGATTAGCAATCTGTACATGATGGCCAGATTACCTCAAAAATGTTTCATGATGGTTTTTTTTTTGCATGTCAATTAACAATGGCACTTTCATGATATTACATGTATATAAACGACAAAAAAAGTGATTTATTTATTACCAGCAAGGATTTGTATAGTAAGTCTTACTATAGTACAAATCCTTGTTACCAGGTATATGTACTCAATTGAAAAGATTGCATTGTAGAAATCTTCATCACCATTAGTGCCTTTGAAATGGTAGGGGAAATAACTCTAGGTTAACAGAATTGTGTTTACAACACTATGAGCTCGAGGTAACAGTAAAAAACAAAATCTGTAAAGTTATGTGTAAATATTTTGAAGTCACCTCAATTGTTTTTTGTCCAAAGCGAGGATTTGTATAGTGAGTAGTTGTACTATATAAATCCTTGTCTAAAGTTTTTAATCAATGACGATTAATTATAAGAACAATTTAGAAAAGTTGTAGTTCAATGGGGTTATGTTTACAAAGGTGTCTACAAATGTATATCAACAAGGACGTATAACTAATACATCCTTGATATGAAGCAGAACTATTTATCAGATGTTGAACTAATGAATATAAAAATATACATTGTCCTCAGTGAAGACTCCGAGACTTATTACTGCCTAATTATTATATTTTATATGTTTTCACATTTCAAAAGAACCAAAATCAATAGCAAATCCTTGCCTCAATATGTACATGTATTCTTTATTTCAGATGGATTTGAATTATTTGACAGCTGTAGTTGATGAAATAGCTTTAGAAGGTTTAGAGGGTTTGTATAAAATATCTTTTCAGTATTAGCTAAATAGAAGGCCAAGAAAAAAATGGTTACTTTATTTATTCTGAATAGTTTGAATAAAAATAGGTATCATGCATATGTCATTGAGACAGCAAACCAACACTTTTAACCAAAAGACATCCAGACCTCATTTTCCAGTGGTAGTCCAAATTTCCCCGACCTGTATCCATGACTGCCTCTATTGCAGGACCTACCTATTATATTTATTGTTAATTTGTTCTTGTCCTGAACATACATGAAATATTTGCCACTGGACATTAAGCAATCATCAATCAATCAATCTATATAATAAAGTAAACTCTAAATTTTCAGAATAAATTAAACAGAAACAAACATCTACCACCATGACATCAACACCAAAATCCACCATTGGCTTTATAATTTAAAGTATACAAATTAACAAAATAAAGAGTGATTTTAATAAGTGTCCCCTTGTATGTACAGAAAGCCAGACAGCAACAAAACCTTACGTAATGTTATGATTGTCTTTTAAACATCCTTCGTTGTTTTTCTATCAGTTATGATTATGTGTATGGTATATGCAGGGAGCAGGGAATTTTCAGTAACATGTTTGTTTATTTTGAGGCTTACTTACATAATTATTTCAAACAATATTTCAAAATGATAGAAACTATAAGAATCCTGCAAAGGAATGTTCTAGATTAAAATTTGATTAAACCACATGAAAAAAAAAAATCCTTGCAAAAATTAATTGTTTTGGAAACCGAAGTTGAATTACCTGTATGCAAATATATTAAAATGAATATTAGTACAAAATGTATCTGATACATGTATCACTGAAAAAAGACACCAACTATTTCTCTTAACCATAAAATAAGACTACCTAAAGACGAAGAGTGGGTTTTTTTTTAATGACCTTAAATGTCCTGTAAAAGGACTCACTTTTAATGCAAATTCTTTACCAGGTTAAAAAAATTGTGCAATGATCTGTAAAAAAAGGACCATAAACAATATCAAGATGTCCCCCAAATGTATTTATTTACAATACAGGTATAACAGTGAACACACTATGGAAAAGACTTGAAAAAAGGCCTGGTTTTGTTATCAAACTTGATGAGAAATCTAAAGCATTTCTATGGCGACAGTTGACAACAGTATCTGAGTTTGTCTACTATGAGCTACCTGAACCAAGACCAGATTTAGACATCTTTAATCGAATGGACTTTGTTGACCCAGAAAGTGGACATATGGTAGAATTAAACCAGGTATAGCTAGTATTGTTTGATTTGAATAGCCTGGAATTTTAGCTGGACATTTGGTGCACAAAATTTACAGTGTAACTACAGCTATAAAAGTGTTCATTGGCATGACAGTGTTTTTTCACACAAAGCTTAAACAATTTAAAAGTTATCCTGTTCCATGTGGTAGT